TTTGTCCTCATAGTCAATTGAGGCCTGCATGAGGATTTGCCAACTGAAATACTGGTTAAAGTTAATTTGGGAGGGACAGATCCTTAATTCAGTTAATCTTTGTTGACAGATTAGCATAGCCTCAGATTTGGCTAATTGTGGATGCTCAGCTTGGTCCTTGATAACCCTAGGGTCTGAGAGAGCTTTATGAGAAGTTAAACAATATATCCTAGATCTAGACTTATAAAAGGACAACAGAATGTCTCGCCACTGTACCACTGGCCTTTGGAACAGGACTTTTTTTTATTTTTAAATACTTATATAGCATCCTCATTATAACATTCTTGCCAGGTTTAAGATTTACTGTGAGGAATTTGGAAAGGAGGTACAGTTTGTAATCTTCCGTTCCAAGATTGAATCTGTCAATCAGGGTGGAGCTGAATCACTATCACATGTTTTGCTGACACCATTGTACCATCTGGACGCTCTAACTTAACATCTCCTCTCTTAGTAAATAATCATAGCTGTTTTATGGAAGAGAATGTTTTTCTATTAGCCAATAAATTCTTAGAAACCTTAGAAAAAGGTAGCAAAATATTGTTCAGTCATATGTAAGGAAACTGTGAGCGTAAATAACATCTGATAGATTGTTTTTTATGTCAGAAGGCAATCAACTATGCATTTTACTTTTTAATATTTTAGTTTTGTTTGGTATTTGAATTAGAATTTAGGTCTATGACCATGAATAACATTTGATTAATAATTCTGAGCAGCTATTGCAATGTATTTCAGCAGACATGCTATTTTTAGATATATCATCTTCCCCATTCCAAGGTTAGTGAAAAGAACCAATAGCTACCTAGACTCTTCCCAGTTGTAAGTGTATTGTGTTAAATTTCAGTTGAAACCATTGTATAAGATAGAAGCAGAGGCTGTGCACAAAACAACATCAAAAACCAGGTTAAGAAATGGTTAAAACCAGGTTTATCATTTATAAACAACCAGAACTAACCCAAAGCCAAACAAGCCACAATCCCTTGGCATGTTGTTTGCATGAATTAGGCCATTTAAGAATAACATAGTTATCTGTTTGGGCTTAACATGTGTATGAACATACCCACTGTAATTTATTAACTATCGTTTATGTATATTCAAGAGTACAATGAAACTCAAAAGCAATTGCACTCCAAATTGTTATTTCAAAATCACTGCAAAAGGAGAAGAAAGTGGTTCAAATGGTACATCAGTATTTGTTATCTTTGGATTATTTATTAACAGAGCTTATTCTGAGCAATACCATTTTATTTGAATTTTATGAGTTGCACTTAAACTTATTGTTTATTTATTTAGCAGTTATTTTCTCCATGTTATTAGATGCCATTTTCCCCTAAACTTCTGTGTTAACCTATATTATGTGGCATAATCACTTTGTGTTTTGTGTTTGAATTTTAAACTGAAATGTCTAAATAGTCTAAGAACAAAACAGAGCTTGTGCAAATACACCATCCTGCACTGTTGACTCAGAAGTCTATGTTATTCCTTTGCTGTCTACATGCAAACATGAGCCTTCCTGCCCATACATGTTTTGGCACTTCTAGCCTTGATTTAATACTGAATAGTGCGTTGTTTTTAATCACCCATTTTGTTTGTCTTCGTGAGGCTGTGTTTACCTGTGTTTGTCTGTATGTACTGTGTGTACTCACTGACAAAACAATACAGCCCTGATGTTTTAGCAGCTTCAGAGGTACATGAAGTCCTAGAACCCCCAAGAGATGCAGCATCTCAGTTTTACATGGAATTGAAAAACAGGCTAAGGCCAGCATTAGTTCTACACCTGAACAGCAGAACAAAGAACTGGAATATTGAATCTTGGAAAATCAATGGGTCCAGGTCTTTAAAAATATAGCATGTAATCGTTATGATTTAAGAATGGAGTTAATTCATCATGGGACACTGTTTCCTCTTTACTGGACACCTTAAATAATGTTCTAAAAAGCACGGATAGAAGACTTTTTGTGTTGCCATTTTAAGAAATCTGAGAGGTATTTAACTCAGAGCTCCGTTTTGGTTTCAAGTTATAGCGTGTGTTAATATACTTTGGGAAAGAAATGTAACAGAGTAAAGAGGTAAATGCAATGTTAAATTAAAATATTTGTCATTTTATGAGGAGTTTAGATTTGTTAGGATTTTACTACATAATGGGAAAAGACTTAATATTGTCTTGATGTTATAGATTTAATACATGTTTGTTGGCTATTTTTAAAATGTCTTATATTCCAAAAGCGAGAAGATGAAGCAGTATGTTTCTTTATGGTCTCGATTTAATGACCAGCTTAAGAACCGAACCAAATTGATATTAAATTGAGACTACATGGATCTTTTTGTGTTAGTTTTTTTTCCTTTCTTTTCTGTTATGTTCAGTTCATTTTAATCACTATAATGTATGTAGTTTTTTTTAATGTATTGTAAATTTTTCTAGTGTTGTAGTTGCTTGTTGCAGTTCATCATTAAAAAAGTGACATTCCTTACCTTTTAAATTTACAGTCATATTTAAATACAGATCTTTTTTCAAGTTAATACAAATTTTGTAATACCAAAACCTATACACTTGCTTGTTTCCCACTAGTAAGCAGTCAATCCTATACAATCCTCTCCGTGCAACTGAAAGTAGTACATTTTGCAAACTAGAAAATGGTTGGTGTGTTTGGAACCACCCAAATTATTAATAAAATGTGTGTGTGCAATTACACTAGGAAAACCAATTATACAAAAGGCTAGTAAAACCAACGGGCTTCTTTTGTATGCCTGATTATGTCTTTTTTCTCCTAAGATACCTCCTCAGTTATATAAGCATTCTTCCCTTGCAAAAAGCCTTAGGTTGCCTATCCCTGTATTATGGCACTAAAACAACATGCAAGGCTGTTCTCTTCAACCTAATACCTACCAAAATGTTGAAAATAAACCTAGAAGTCTCAACTAGAATGTGGCTTATACACACCCTTCCTGAAGGCCCACAGTCAACTTGCAGGCTTCTTATGTCCTTCCTGCTACTCTGCAGCTGTCCCCACCTTCCCCAGCACTATTTCTACTCAATACTTCCTCCTCTTCCCACTGGGCCGTGTTGTTCCTATTCACACTATACCAGATCATTTCCAGCCATCCACCAGTGGGCCCAGTATTATTGGCACATTTTCCTCCTTACCCAAAGCCACGCAATAGGATCTAGTTGTTTTCAGCCAATCAGAAGCAAAGCAAGTCTTTAGGTATTTGCCATATTTACTTTCTAAAAAGATTTATGTGGATCTCTTAGAGCTTAGAAATGACTAGGAGTGTTTTGCACTTTGAAGCAAAGCCCAGTAATTCAACGCCTGGGATGATTGTGTTTGCCAGGATATACATGGGCAAGATATACCTCTGACCAAGTGTTCTTTTTGCTTCCTTGTAACTGTGCATTGTAAGGACAATTGTGTAATAATGTCCATGTTTTCTTTCAGAAATGCTAGTTCACTATTACAGATTTTCTCATTAAAGATTACATGAGAAGCTTCAGAGGAGTGCCAAAGTCTCTGGAGTAAAACTTGAAAATAATCCTGTATGTTTTTCTCTAACTTTCAGCATGTTAGTTATTCTGTATTTTTAGTACATTCTGAAGGAAGTTTGCACTTTACACTGCCTTTTGCAAAAGCATATGGTATTTCAAATCACACTTACAATACAGCTGAAGACCTGGTTAAGATCTTCAGAGGCAGATCCTTCTTTGTATGCATTGCTTAACATGTAATTATGTATAAGATAGTTTTATTTTTATCAGTATTAGTCATTTGTCACATCATTGAGCTGGCAAACGTAATTACGGTCATGCTAGAACATGAAGGCTCAAGTAGCAATACAAACTCTCTTTAATTATAAATGGAGAGAACTATAGGATATTGTAGCAGAGGCTACAAATGCAGACAGAAGCAGCCACAGCAACCTCTATTTAATGACTGAACTTGTTACATTGCTGACTACCAAGTTTCTTAGCAGTTTACAATACAGGTGATCCTCGCTTATCGACCACTTGTTTGGTGACCTTCTAGCTTACGACAGCGCTGAACAAGTGGAACTTATGACAGGTCCTCATACTTACCACAGCTGCAGAGTTCCCATGATCATGTTATCACAATCTGGGTGCTTGGCGCCCGACTCACAATTAGGACATTGTAGCATCCCGCAGTCACGTGATTGCCATTTGCAACCTTCACTGCTGGCATCTGACAAGCAAAGTTAATGGGGAAGATGGTAGGAGGTTGCATATGGTGACTACTTGATGTTGTGCTTAATGACAGTGCAGGATTTGCTTAGCAACAGCAACTGGAAGTGCTGAAACTGCCATTGCTAAGTGACAGTCACCTGAGATTGCACTTTGTGACCGCATTGCTTAGTGATAGAAATTCCGATCCCAATTGCTGTCATTAAGTGAGGACTACCTGTACAACTTAAGGCCAAAGTTAAATGCAGAGATGTGGAAATCAACACTTAGAATCCTTGATCCAGTTAAAAAACGATTTAATGGCCTCTTTTTTTAAGATGAGAGATTAGGACATCTGAGGTATCTAGAGGAAAGACTGACTCTACTATGTGAGACAAGTCCACACCAATCGTAGATTATCTCAAAGAATGGGGAAACATATGTATTCTCTCAATTAGCCAGAACCCAAGCCACATGGGATTTTAATCCAGGGCTCAGAATTTTGTCCAGGAACAAATCAGTAGCAAGTGCAATGCTTTTAATATAGGTATTACATGGATTCTCTGAGTTCTTTCAGAGATCAACCTGGTTGCTGAGTTTTGTACCAACTGAAGATTCAGTACTAGATGCCATGACCATTTCACTCAGATACCAACCCCCCCCCCCCAAATTATGTAATTGGTAAAAGTACAAAGATCGACAATCCTTTGAATCAACATCCGCAGTCTTAAATACAGATTAAAGTATAAATTACATTACACCACAGACTCAAATTTATGCAGACAAAATATGCTGACTCGGAATGGTTTTTTATTGACGTTTGAGGTGACTCATGACACTAATAGGCAATCTTGAACAAGATTTGTTTTTTTTTTTTGTCTCTTTCCTCCCCACCAAAATTATGAAACCAGCTTCCCATCATTACGTAGATTCAGATTTTTCTTCCTTCTGCTTTGTCGCTAAGCATATCCAAATTGGAACAGAAAAAGCAAGATACTTCCATCCTGTTACAAGTTATAAAGGTTAGTATGAGTAGTTGACCTTTTGGGCTCTTGTTCCAAGACAGTGGAAATGTCATAGCTTTCACCTTCTAGGTACATGTGCTGAGAGCAGAAATCTAGAGTTGGGCAAGCTGTGGAGCAAGACTGATTAAAAGAATCAAAGCTGATGTTCCAAGAAAGGTTTTCATCCCAATCACTCCACCTTAGACCGTGTCTTGTTCCTACGACACTTTATTGAAAACTGTAGCTGTAAGAATAGGTCTGCTCTATATGTAGACTTCATAAATCTCTAATCAGCCTTCAGCTCACCATCAAAAGTACAGTAATCCTTTGGGAGAAATCGAGTAACATGAATATAGACAGGCAGCTCCTGTTCCTAATTCAGCAACTTTATAACAACAGCTTGGTGTTTCTAAGCCTGTTGGAAGTTCACATACCTATTTTGCTTATATTCTTAAAAAAAAAACTAGACTGAAAACATGCACTCATAATTTGGTGGTGCAACTGGAAGAGTAGGTCTGGGGGAGGGGCAGATACAGCTTGCCCTTCCCTGTCCTAGCAGTACAGGCTGCTTCATAATCACAAGTGATGGAGATGCGGGGGGGGGGAATGCTTTGGCTCAAGTATCACAAGGCCACTGCTTCCCTTGCACACCGATTTTGCACATTAGAATGCAACAGCAGTCTCTGCTAGTCCAACTATAATTTGGTGATGGCACAAAAGAGGGGAAAGATAGGAACATGGTAAGCAGAAACAAAATGAGGGAAGGATGCAGATGGAAGGGAATTGAAGACTTCTACTTCCCCACCTTTATTTGTGCAGATACCCCATTTATATTTATATTATATTTGTATTTAACATGCATGCATATATATTTATATTTATGTCTCTAATCCATTAATTTCAAAGCTCTTTAAAAGATGCAGAAAGAATGAAGATGGTCTGATTAAACAGATTGTCCCTGTCTGCAATAACAACAAAAAGGATACAAGAATCTGTCAACTCCAGGATTCACTTTTTACTGTAGAACAGTAAACTGGTAATATCTTGGTTCTATGCTTTTCTTAACTAAGATTTGCCTACCTGAATTAAACCTGTCACATATGGATGTCTTTTATGTGTAATTGCTGGGAAGATACTAAGGTACTGTGGAATCCTACATGGTGTAGGATCACCTTTAATTTTGAATTATCAAGAAGGATTGTTCCTTCTTCTCTTTGGTTATGAAAAGACCCCAAAATTTATTTCCTCAAAAATAAAATCAAAAGAACACATTAAATAGACTTCAAAATAATTATTAAAATCTCAGGGGGCAGAAGCTACCCCATATTTAAAACACTGAATGCAAAACTCTTCATTGCCAAAACAGAGAGCAAAAAATAAGACTTATATCTCCACAAGTTAAGATGCTAGCAGCAAAAGCTCCAACTCTTTCAATCTCTTTGCACAGTGGAACATAGAGGGCCTCCAAAGATCATAAATTAGATACAGGTTATTTCAACTAAATATCTATACTACACCCTTCTGTCAAGGCAAGGACTGTAATCATGAAATGCAAATGTCCCTGAACTCATTGTCTTTCTAGAAAACAAGTAAAACATTTTTGTTATTTATTTGATTGTGAATCTGTGCAGCCTTGTATATGTCACATAACAGAAAAACTTATCTTTTTAGAGAAGTGAATCTGTATGCAATGATCTAATTATAAAACATTGGGTATTGTATGCATAAACCAGAATAGAATTATAAAGTAGAAATAAACAATCCAAGATGGCTTAGTAGAAGCCCTTGCAATTGGTGTAGCAATCAGTTTTCAACGTTAAGAACCTTTTATATTGGGTAGCATTATGAGAGAAGACCGAGTCAGCAATATATCAGATCATGATTGTTAATTTTTTTTCCATCTGTACAAAATGCTAGAAGATACAATGAGGCCCTTGGGACAAAATACATGAAGCAAATTATCCTAGTTACCTGAGAAGCTGAAGATAGATATAACATTTCAACCTTTATTATACAATATATAAAATATTAAAATGATTTACAGATGCAGTTAGCACAGATATAGCTAGACAAGAAATAGTCAGTTTCAGTATTTTTTCATGCTGTTGGATGTCCGCAGTGCTGGTTTGGAACCTGGAAGAGGTGGGGACTGCCATACAGCTGAACTTGTGCGCTTGAAATACCTTGGCTTACTTTTGTAGAAGATATCCTCTAGCTTAGGGCTCAGTATCAGACCAAATAACCTGTTGATGTCTGGAGGATTGTAGTATTGGTATGTAACAGCTTCGTTAAGTTGAAGCCCTGAGGAAATAACCATTTTTCACATTGTGAATAATTCCTGAGGCAGCAACACATCACCAGCCAAAGTACTTCTACAACGTATAAAATGACTAGAATGTGAAGTCCCTCCAGCAGTGGTGCTAATTAAATGGCCTGCAGCAAAGAAGCACTGAGCATGAAACTGAGCAAACTCAGGGAGGCAGTGAAGGACAGGAAGGCCTGGCGCAATATGGTTCATGGGGTCACGAAGAGTCGGACACGACTTAACGACTAAACAACAACAACAAAGAAGCACATTGGACTTCCACAGACTGCCTGTGACTCCAACTCAGGCACAGAAGGTAAATTTCTTAAGTGATCTAAAAAGGATGGCACTATAGAAAAGAACAAATACAGATTTTCCAATCAACAGTGTCATTATTTCATATAATAATTTAACTCTTTACTGAATTTTCACTGGCTCTGGTTCCCCCCACCCCCTTCTTTTACTCTTAGCACACCAGAAATTCCCATCAGATACCAGGTATGCTGTACGATGTAATTCTGAAAGATGCATACATACCATTGGCCCACAAAGGGATGGGTTTGCGAGGCTGGCTTTCATCATCAGTGGAGTCGTCACTATTCAGATCCATTCCATAGTCATTCAGACTGACTTTGAGAGACTTCGTATCTTTCAGATCTTGGGCATTCACTTGGTTGGTGCTCCCAATATAAGATTTCTAAAATACAGGCAAGGTTGAATGCATGAATTAACGTTACAAATGCAGCAGCTTGTCAACAGTGGGTCTTTGTGACTACCCTGCTTGCCTTTCCAAAATTTATGTATACACTTTTTCAGGGAAGCAGCAGCTAAAATTATTGTACATAAAGATTATGGAAGGGTTGTTATTCTCCACCAGATGTACTTAAAGGCAACTGAACTTGAAGCTCTTTACCGACAATATACAGTATAATCAACAGAGAATGATTACTCTCTGAAAAATAAATAGGTAGAAAGAGGCAGATGACTGAGGCACAGAACTCAAGTGATTCAGCTATGCAAGTTTCTAAAAATAAAGTAAGGGGGTGAGAGTGGGTAGAGGCAAATTTTCTGTCTGAATATGCCAAATAAAACAATTGCATTAAGAAGGAACAAATGGCATTTTGGCTGTTTTATCCAATGCACCAGCACTAAACTTGCTTCAATGCACTTCATAGACTCAGAAACCCATCACAACATCGTCTCTTCCTCCTTAAATGGCTGAAATAATGGTTCTAGGTTTTCCTACTAAAATCCTGATGGATATTCCTAATCAGTCTTTTGACTGGCCCATGCTAGAAACCATAAGGAACAGATGGGGAACAAGAACTGAATCTGGTTATCATTACTAGCTCACCTCTTAAAGTCTATTATCAGCTGCAAGCCTTTTTAGGTATCTGAGCTATAACGGCTGTCATATGTTAATCAGTAGATACATTAGTATTCAAGTTAAATGTTCAGGCCTGTCTAAAGCCCCATCTTGCTTTTAAAACTACTATAAGCTGCAAAATATTGGTAGGCAGATTCTAATTTTTAAGAAACAAACTGCTCTGGGCTTCTGTTGCAACCGTTCTTGAAACATGTTTATTTTCATAGGGTTTTGATAAAGTCAGACCTATAGAAGGATGCTAATTTGAATAGACAGATTGAGGGAGAACAGAAAGCAACAGATTATTTCAACTGCTAAGTAATCTTCCACAAGCATTCATGGTTTCAGCTATGTACATATACCATGTGATCACTGACAGAATTTGGGGCATTTATAACCTTTGAGAGCTTACAAAAAGCTTTTAGTTCCAAAACAAAAGCTATTTTTCTATTTTCTGTGGGTGGTAGAAACTATTCCAACTGCATACAGCATATATCTTACAAATAGAGGCTCTGACAGCTATTGCTAATCTGAGTGGCACAGTAGGAATTCTTTCCAAAATCTTATAACAATTTTGATGCAACAACAAATAGCATTCCAAATCATTTCAAGGAATGTGATGCATATACAATACCAGTAAAAACAATTTTGAAAACAATGTAGTGTTATCAGGATTAGGATATCTGTTCATCACTATTTGTCAAACATGAGAATGAATTAAGTAAATAATTATTTTAAAAACTGTGAAAGGGAACTTTTGCAGAAGCCATTTATCTTATCAAAAAAAGGATAGTTCAAATTTCCTCTTCTGTGGTTTAGATGGCTGTGGCAAGCAATTATTTTTATAAGCATTTCTGTTGAAATGTGCCAGGGATTTAATTAGCTAAATACTATGCCATGCTAACATATTTTTGTAATGTATTGCAGTATTTTGCTTTGTTTAAACCTATAATAAATGTGTGTCTAAAGTCTGTAAGACTTTAAATCAGGGCATAATTCAAATTATGTATGTCTAAGATCCTGGACATTTGATAGTGTACTTCAAAAGCTCTAAATCTATCTTGTACTGATTAGCAATAGCTTAGCTAAAATGAAAATGTTTGAATGTGGAGCATTGAGTACAAAGGTTTTTTTTTTAATTCTCTAACTCATTTTTATTTTCCATCCTTTCAGCCCTTCACCTTCTCATTACACTTGCCACAGAACTGGCAGATTAATATTTAGCTTGCAAATACTAAAGTCCTTTGTATGACAACACATTTAAGTAAATCCAGCTATGACTATTACAGAGCAACTTAAATACAGTATTTTAGTCTCCAAACAAAATGGCTTTTAAAAATTATTTAATATTTCATAATAGATACTTGTAGATCTCATTCATACATTACAATTATGTTTACATGTATGCTTACCTGAAATGGGAGCACATTAGAAAGCACTATCACAGACTGTGTCTCATTTACAGAGCAACTATACTGAATACAGCAACCTTTCCCTTCAACAGCGCAATCAGTGAGCTTCATCCATCATGTTCCTATGCCCTCTTGTGATCATACACAAATATTGCTGGACCTTCAGAACCCACAACTGCTTATAGCACAAACAGAGATTACTCCACTGCATTCAGGTGGATAATATTTTGCAGATGCATGTAGCTTCAGGAAGTGCTTAACGTAAAATTTAAATCAAATAAGACATTCAAGAAATTTTGTCAAAGATGGCCAAGTTAAGCATGGGGGACTACAAAGTTTGAAAATAAAGTTAACTGTAATGGAAATGTTTGATATTCATTCAACAACGTGCTGCTGATAATGCAAAGGTACTGACATTTCAGGGAGAAAGAATGTGTGGAATTTCAGAAGCAAAACCATTCCTCAGAGAGTATCTGAATGATGACGGAACATAGAGGAAAGGGAGTGATCACATAAGATAACTTTGGATGATGTTTGTTCATCTGAAAGTAGAGCAAATATATATGTGCAGAAGTGTCCCTCTAATTTAGAACCAGAAAAGGATTCCAGTGCTTGGGAGTTGTCAATGCTTTCTACTTCCAGTTTACAGGCCTTTCCCCATCACTGAGTTAAAATGCTGTCCACCCATCCTTGGGTACGTAGAAAACCAAAGCAACATGGGTTTCGCTGTCTCCCTTCTACAATCCTGATTGTGTCTCAAGTCATTGTAGCCATCTGATTTCCTTCCAAGTAGGGAGTGGCAAAGTCCAACAGCCTTGAAGCTTCCTTTGGACAGTGCCTGAATAAGACTAATTCAGTACCAATTCAGCTTATGAATACTGTGCTTAAGCCAATCTCATGGGTTGGGGATAAGCTGAAGGCAATATCATGGGAACACATCAGGAAGAGATAAAGAGGCTGTCAAGTCATATTTCTGCCATGACAATTTGCAAATGGGGAAAGACCTAAATATCTGACTGCAGGCCTCAGTCATTTGGCCAAGTTCTCATCTTGCAGGAGAAGCCTGCAAAATAGTTCCTACTCACCTGAGCAGTTATATTCAGCCACTTACATGCAGCAGGAACATCTTCCACCTGCACAGCTGTCTTGTCCTGCTGCAGCTGAGCCAGTGGGGCAGAATTCTTTTCTTCCTATTAACCAGATCAGAGTCTTAGTTACCAAGTCCATCCAATTTAATCATTTTGCAGTAGTGGCTTCACACAGAAGCAACAAAAGCACTTTCTTCTTAGATCTCCATTAAGGAGATCCACCAATGAGATCTTGGATATTTTTTCCTTGCTCTGCTACCTGGCAGAAGAGAGACACAGTGAAACCCAACATTTGCCCCATTCTCTCCTATCATAATTACTGCTTGTGTGCCAAGACTATAGTGATAACCACTGCCTTTTTCCTATTCCTAGGGCAAAAACAACTAGAACTGCATAATCTGCTTTAAATATATATAATTTCAATCTCCATAAATCACATGATGAAATGTGTAATTAACAATTTGTTCTCTCCCCTAAAAATCTAGAACAGTGAGTGACATACAAAGGCTTCACTCCTTTCAGACAGAAACAGAGTGGCAGGGGAGAAACTGAACCCATACATTTTGGAAATGCAGCTGGAAATATTAGAAATATTTTATATTTATATTTGCTGGCAAAATCTTGTTTGATGTTAATCCCCTCCCTATATTGGTTTTCCAATAATTTATCACACCTTTAGATTTTCTTCCTCTTCTTTAACTATGGTGAGTTCCTGAACTTTCACCAGCTTCTCTTTATCTTGCTGCTTGTGGTGCCTAAAAGCAAAGCTGAGTTAATATTCAAACACTTGCAGTGCACTGATTACTTGAAAGTAAGTTCCCCTGGGGGTCACTGTGGAATCCTTGCCAAATAAGTATGTTGGAAACTCAAATTTTCCCCAAATGTGAACAGTTTTGCTGGATATTATATAAAAGAACAAATAACTCAAAGAAAGTAGCATCATTTCAGAAGTGGTTATGTAGCTCACAATTTTCAGTTTTGATTGTTTTTGTATCTCCTATAATTCCTTGAACTTTAACCTGCCCATAGTTTCAATTTTCAGAGTTGTTCCTCCTTGTAACTAGGAAACAAAATTCTCACCCCTTTTCCTGTCTTGTGCTATTGTATTCTAGCATTTTCTTAATTTCCCCAATTGTTCTCCATTTTTCTGGACGTTCTTGAAGTTTTGGCCCTTCTTCCTGAAACAAGGATAGAGAATCAATGCCTTTCATAAATAAATATAGGAAGGAGGAAAAACAAGAATACTCACAGAACTATGTTGATGAGAAGTCTATACCAATGTATTTAGACACTCCTTAGCTAATTTTAAAACTGGAGAATTATATAAAACAGTTTTTATTGCAGTAATACGTATTTTAAAAACAAGTATATTATTTTAGAAATGGGATGGTACAGATAGTATTTTTCAAATCTTACCTATATATATTGTCAGATCAGAAACAGAGATTGTGTATTTCTTTCACCATTCCTCAAGACACAAAGAAGCTGGTGTCTGAACTAGAAAATTCTACATTTATTGTATCTCCAAACTTGTGGAAATGACAGTATCTCTTGGACACATGAATGTAAGAAACAAAGCAATTCTAATGGATTAAAAAAGCTATACTAACATGAGTACTTGTACAATCTGTTCATCCTTCATTCCCTTTGAATATTCTTTATAACAGCAAGCAAGCAGCTATTAAATAATCTGTGAGGCTTTGATACTTTCGATCACATATAAATAAAAAGTTATTTCTTAATTATGATTAAAACTTCCTTAGAAGTTTGCCTATTCTAGCTGTAGCCTCCTTCTCTATAGTTCCATTTTACTGGAAAGTCAACATAGTGCTTACCGTTTGCAGCAGTTTCTGTTTTCGGACTTCTGCTTCCATTTTCTTTATAGATATTTTTTTCTTTGCCTTTTCCTCTGCTGTCTTCTCCTCCCGCATCTGTGCAAAGAATTTGTCAAAATTCTGTCTTATTTCACACTAAAGACCGGGGAGGTAAATTACATAACAAATTATAGGTTTAGGCCTAGAGGTGTATTAAAAGCTAAGGTAAAGTCTCCTTCAAATTGAGTTCAACTCCAGGTGACTTTATGGACACTCCCATATGCTTTTCTTGGCAGCAGTACAAAAGTGATTTGCCACTGCCTTCATCCAGGATTTTTTTGCAGCCAGCGGGGAGGGGATTTCTCAGCCAAACTTTCAGCTAGATTAGGGAGGAGAAGACCATCCATGCCTCTCATCCCCAGAGTTGCACAAATGAGAACAGAGTGTGTGAGAGAGACATGAACAAATAAAGAAAATCATGAATATATTGTCATGATATATCTCTTTCATTTCTTTACTTTAAAGCTGGCCAAAGGAAGAGGAACTGGGATTCCAAAGAACATGCGAGGACTGAAGTTTATAGATGATGTCCTGTATCCCCTTCCTTCCCTTTGTGTGAATACCCTACCCTGCTGTTTCCTGAAGGAGAACTCTGCTCCTGATCATTAGGGTTCCCAATTGACAAAGCAATATTGCTGCTTTTCTTCTGACTTCCTGACTCAGCATTTGGTAGCTGCAGATATGAAGAAGTGGCTCTGACATTCATAATAGTTCAGCCATCAACACTCTTTAGCCCTTACTCATTCCTAGAATAATAACAGATCTTGAACTCTTAGTAGAAGAAAGCAAATATTGTTTAATAAGTATAGAGTCATAGTGGGATGAATCTGATGACCGGAATATAGCAGTTGAAGGATATAGTTTGTTCATATGGAAGGAAACAACAGAAATGGAGGAGTTGCACTGTACATTAGAATCCAACTAAATGAATTTAGAGAACATCTGGGTTAAAATAACTGGAATAATAAACAAAAGCAATGCCGTTATTGTTGTCTATTAGTGTTGCCTACCCAGCTAATGAGAAGATGTGGATGATGCTTTCCCAAACTATGAAATATGAAAGAATAGTAATGTGGGACTTTAATTATCCTAATCTCAGTTGGGAAACCAACTCTGCTAACTGTAGTATTTCCAGGAATTTTCTGACTTGTCAGGCAAACAGCTTTCTGATTCAGAAGAATGTACAGAGGATAAGCTATCCCTGACTTGGTACTAACCACTACTGCATGAACTTTTTAGTTAAGGAATTTGGGGAGAAAGTGTTGGAGTTCTTGATTTTAAGGGAAACTAAAACTAACTATAGTCCAATATTATCTTGGATTTCAGAAAATAGATTTTAATAAACTCAACCTTATAAGTAGGATTTGATGATGGAAGAAGCTAATGGGAAAAGGACCTCAAGATGGGTGAGTTTTTTAAAAAGGAGATAATAAAAGTACAGTTGCAAAAAAATCTAATAAGAAAAATATAGAAGAAAGCAGAAGTCATCATGGCTGCAGAAAGCAATCACAAGTAGAACAAAAAAGGGCAAATGTAGCAGATGGGAAAAAAGAACAGATCACCAAGGAAAAGTTCTTACAGGTAGCCAGGAATAGAAGAGATGGTGTCAAGAAAGCTAAATTTCAGAATGAGGTGAGCTTGGCAAAAGATACTGAAAACAAAAAGGACTCTTTTATGTACACTCAAAATAAATTGAAAAGAACAGTATGCCAGTTCAATGGAGACAGCAAAGGCTAACAGATAACAACTCCCCCCCCCCCAAAAAAAACCCAAGGCAGAGCTGCTTGATTCCTATTTTAACTATTCTCCAACTAGGTAGTGTGAAATTATGAGGAGCAGGATGAAGGAGTAGAACTGAAGCTTGAGGAAATATCTATTTAATCTGAATTTAAATCTCCAGCCCCAGATGAATTAGACTACAGAAGGAACTTGGTGATAGTCTGCCCAAGCCTCAAAGAATTATCTCTGAGAAATCCTGAGGAAATGCCAGATTATAAACATTACCTCAATCTTCAAAAGGGGAAAGGATGAGGATCCAAGGAACACAGACTGCTTGGTTTGACATCAATACTAAAGTCCGTTCTAAATTTGCAATGCTGTATTTTTTAACCATTTTATTAATTAATTGGATTAAGCGAAGAATGCTTATCAAATCTGCAGAACTGGGCAGAATAACTAATACTCTAGGGCAGAAATAATATTTAAAATCTTTTGATAAGTTAGAGAAATGTGCTGAAAATAGCAGTATGAAATTTAGCAGAGATAAATGCAACATTACACATTTAACAAAAATAAATCAAATGACGGTTCTGGCTTGATAACTGTACTAGCAAAAAGACCTTGAAATACTAGTTGATTACAGACTGAATATCAGTTGGCAATGTGATGTAGCTAGAAAGAAAGGCAAATGACATTTAAGATTGTATCAACAGAAGTATAGTTTCCAAATCATAGGAAATAATAATTCTGTTTTATATCTTCACTGTCAGACCCCACCTCAAGATGAATACCAGCCATCACACTTTAAGAATTCAAACAAGCAGGAAAAGACTCAGAGAACACCAGCAAGGACGATCATGGTACTGGAAACTAAATACTATGAAGAAAATTAAAGGGATTGGGAATAGTTAGGTCCAGCTCCAAGAAGAGGTGAAGATATGATAGCTCTCTATCATATTATAGCAAAAGAGGTCACATAAGGAAGTCAAGACTTATTTTCTATCAATCCAGAGTACAGAATGCAAAATAATGGATTTAAATTATAGGAAGGTATATTCTTAATGAACCGATTATCCAGACAGATGGTGGGCTCCCCTTCACTGGATGTGTTCAAGCAGAGCATAAGTGGAACAACCCAGCAAAATGTACCAGCACCTTCTTCGTTCCCTCCAGATTTATGGCTTACTATGATGTTTGAATACTCCATACTAAGAGACAACTGTTAATATGTTAAGACTGTCATGAAGAAAGTCTGTCGTCAGGCCATTTTTCACCTTGTCATTTCTTTCATCAAACTGAGAAAATTTCTGCTCCATTCTCTTCTTTTTTTCTTCCTCCATTTGCTCTACCCGTTCTCGAGCCTGCAATGCCTTTCGTAGTCGCTCTTCACGCTTTCTGTGTAATATGTAGAAAGCACTTCATTTATTCTGATGAAACTCTTCGTACTGCTAACAAAAAGTTTACATTGATAGTTTTACTATATTTTTATAAACATGTATCTGTTCCTTTAGTGTCCACATTCCACAGAAGTTGAATGACACAATAACAATATAGCTAAAAGAAATTTTCCAATGTAATCCCAATTTGCATGAGGGTATAAACAGTTACTTAACAGTTTTATCTCTTCCAACCGACGTCTCTTTTCTTCCTCCACTTTTTGCTTTCTCTGTTGCTCCGCTTCTTGTTTTTTCCTAAGACTCTCCAGACGTTGGCGCTCCTTTTCCTAAAACATATGGAAGATTTACATTAACTGGAGTTGCTACGACCATTTGCTGCCTGATTGCCAACACATTTTCTCCCCATCTTTTCTATCCCGATTAAGTCACACCAAGGCAGCGTGGCAGTGCAGATATGAAACACCAGCACATTCAGAATGTCCCATGTCCAAAAAAGGGTGAAAAGGGCAGTTTAGTGTTTTTAAACAATTTGCAGCTCTAGGATCACAACCCACAAAATAAGGAAAATAGTTACTTACAACAAACTCCCCCTTTGTAGAATGAACATGGAAAGAAAATACAAATTAGCTTCCAGGAACGTAAACGCCTACTGACTATTTCATTCATCAGTGTGATTAAACAATAGCCCTATCTACATCAGTAAAGCAAAGGACCATGGAAAAATGCAATATGGCAGCAGGCTCAAGGTAAATATCTTCATTATCCTACTAGCCAGAGCAGGCATGGACTTCAACATTGAAATTAGCATATGTAACCTCAACCCCTACTTTAAAGGGATTTCAGCTATGTTTCAGATACATCAAGAGTCTGAGCAAAACAAAAGACCTTCCTTGCTGACTCACTTTTTTTCTCTGGTCTCTGGCTTCCAACTTGGTTTTTCCTGGGGGAGATGGGGGTGCATGGTGGGGAGAAACAGATTTGACCACATTCAGCTTCTCTTACTGGTGTTCTCCCTGGATACCCCCTATTCTCATTTGCCACTTTGTGATATTTTATAGAATCATTGTGTTCATCTTGATGCAAGAATGTGATGTAAGGAGCTATAACTCCTTAAGCATAGAATTGTCTTATATTGATACCATTAGTTTATCTAGTTTTCTGATATTCAGCTGGCTGCAGCTTTCTAAGGTCTGATACTGAGGCTCTTAGCTCTACAACATGACTGAAACAGGAGGTGAATTCAGAATCCATCATGTGGAATATTTTCTCTGCCACAAAGATCTGGTTCCTCTAACCAGTGTATAGCAGGTCTTCCTGATGTAAAGGTTTTTATTATTTTTAAACTTAAAACAAAAAACAAATACACTCTTACCTTGGAGGCAGATCTATTGGGAGTACTATGTTTGGGGACATTGTTTCCTGAAGACCCAGGAGATCTGAGAAGCTGATTCTTTTGCATGGTTTGAAAGAAATTTCTGAAAGGTTGTATTATCTGTCAGAAAAATATGCATGCTTTTACTCCTTGGACATAAAAGGACACATAAGAGTGTATTAATCTGATATTTACTTACCTTGGATGGGCCAGAAGTTGATAGTATTTTCTTTGCAGAAGTGGATGTAGTTTTATGATTAGAAGGACTAGGATTTTTATCTTTTGTGCATGAAGGAGCAGGTAGATCCTCCACTGCTTGATTATAACTTTGTTTCCTGGAAAAAAGAGTAAGCATACACCAAATTTTCTCAATTACATACTTACTCTTGTTTAATGGATGAACTTAAGACTTTCACTGTTCAGCATAACCAAAAGGTTTGAGAGTTGTCATTCAAGAACAAGTTAGAAGTCTCCTCAAAAGTCAAAGTGCTCTATAAGCTTTTGGAAAAGTCTTAAGACTGGGGAAAAGGGAGAAATAGAAAGAGGGAGGGAGAGGGAATGTACATAAGAGTCTGTGTGTGTGTGTGTGTGTGTGTGTGTGTGTGTGTGTGTAAAGCACTGAAAATCAACTTTTCTATTTTCCTGAGGCATGGACCTTTCACAAGATTCTGTTTTATAAAAAGGCCAGTGATGAAATAATAATTTCAAGATAATCCTCTATTTAAGTGCCACATTTAAAATGGTAGTTTTGCCTATCTTATTTTAACACTGTATCATCATATAGAGCAGGAATCCAGATTCAGTATATGTAGCTACTATTTCTATGCTCAAACCATAAGGCTAAACTTCCATTATTTTCATGTTTTTTTTATCAACCCTCTCCCCTCCAATATTTAGTTTGGGAAAATGATTAGATAGCTGGCAAATAGTCACTTTTAAATCAGCACTCCTCTACTCAGTGTCATGAGATGATTATAACTCCAGATAATTGCTTATTGAAAGAATGAAACCATTCATATTTCATTTCATAAATCTAATACTGACAGATAAATGTGTATGTTTTATATTTTTTAAGTATTAATCGTTACCAAGTTCTCCAACATGCTATTTTGGAGGAAAGTCAGCAGTGTCCACCGTAAAAACTTATATATTAACTTCAACATTATTGGAAATTATGCACTCTGTAAGATATGTTGCCCATGCTACTAAATCATTTCACTCTAAGTTCAGTTTTTCTCTCTCTAAATAACCTCAGCATTACAGTATCACATATGTAGGAGGTTCTCACTTAAGCAATCTAGACTGTTATGCCTATAACAGCCTGAGTGCCAGAACCACACAAGTTCACAAGAAATCTTTGTTTAAAAAATGCTTGTAACCAGTTTCTCAATTAAAAGACAAATATCTAATATAAGGACCTGCCATAGTTTCTAAGAGAACTCTTTTTAGCTGAAGCAGTTTCAGGTAGCTGCCCTGAACAGTTATTGTTCTGAATTATGAGAAACCATTCCAGATTCACCTATGGATGGATGGATGGATGGATGGATGGATGGATGGATGGAT